AAGGCTGCTGCCCCCTCAGGTGGAGGTCAGCCAGACAATGGACCACAACCATCTATACCTCTAGTGACAAAAGATCTAGTGCAAGCTTTCAGCCCCCACAGGCATCAGGCACCCACTTTTGCACAGAAATACATACCAGGAAAACACTCATATATATTAAAATTATAAAATAAATCAAGAAATGTCCTTCCCAATTTAACCTTTGATTTAAAAAAATAAGAGAGATAGAGAGAGAGAACAAAAGAACAGAATCATTTGTGTCAGGGAAGGGTAGGAAGGGGAAGGCCCTAAATGAGGATTTCTATATTTTCTTTAAACATTTGAGTACATAAAGACGAATAAAATTGTGTCCATTTCTCACTCTGCACAAAAATTGGATCCAAGTAGATCAAAGACATAATTTTGAAAACTGAAGCATTAAAAACACTAGGTTACATATGCAGTAACCTATGACTACAAGATATTAGGTGCAAAAAAATGACTTTCCCGAAGGACTCCCCTAGTCAAGGGATTAATGCCAACAAGCGACAAATAGGATGTAAGAAAACTAAAAATATTCTGTACAGCTAGAAGAAAAGAAAATCAAGAAAACAAGAAACCCAGATAGTGGGCGGGAAGCTTTGCCACCTAAACATTTGACAAAGGATTAATATACAGACTATATAAGAACTCAAATAACAATGAATCAGGGAAACAAGCCAATTAGAAACTAGCTAGAGATCTAAACAGAGAGTTCTCAACAAAGGAAAAAATGACTAAGAAGCAACTCAAAATATGTTTAAATTTGCATTTAAACACACTAAAATTTTAAAATTGAAATATCATCAAACCCTAGTCAGAAGGCTAGAAACCATGCAAATGACAACAAATTTTTTTTTTACTTTTCTTTCCTCTTTTTTTAACTTTTTTTTTATTAATTACACTTTATTCATTTTGTATCCACCCATAAGCCCCTCCCACCTCCCCTCTGGATCCCATCCTCCCTCCCGTTTCTGCATGCATGTTTAAGTTGCATAGGAAAAGAAACTCTCATTCACTGTTGGTGGGAATGCAAACTGGTCCAGCCCACTCTGGAATCCAAAATAAACAATCATGAAAAATTAATCTACCATATGACCACACCATACCACTCCTGAACATATTCCCAAACTACTTGACATTCTACAGCACAGATGCTTGCTCAGTGATGTTCATTGTTACCGTATTCACAATAGGCAAGAAATGGAAACAAATGTCTCCCATCATATAAATGGAAAATTAAAATATATTATATATTCACAGCATAGTAATATTTGACTGTAAAGAAAACAATAAATTATAAAATCTTCAGGTAAATGATAAACATAGAAAAGTTATAATGAGTCAGGTAATCCAGACTCAGGGAGAAAATGTGATATGTTCTCTCCCATCTGTGTTTTGCAGCTCCAAATCCTCAGACATAGGCATAGAATATGGGTAATCACAGAAGTTTTGAAAGGGACTATGGTGGACGGGTCTTGGGAGGGATATACCAGGATACAGGTGATAGAAAGTATAAAATAAAATAAAAGGATGGGGATCTAATTTGTTGAGGAGGGATGGAAGATCAATAGAAAAGGAAAAGGAGAGAACAGAGAGAAATAATACCAGATTGTGAACTAAAGCTCCAAATACTGATACTATTATTACATTTACCTAAAATTAATCCTGAACAATGCATATAACTGTCTGCCTATGGGCAATTAGATGATGTATTCAATATATATACATTATAGTGTATATGCATATACACATAAACAAGGGTGTGTGTGTGTGATTGTGTGTGTGTGTGTTTAAAGGAAGTTAAATAACTTGGGCTGCCAATGCTGCACAAGAACCAGAGACTATCAAACCCCTACTAACAGACATGATAAACCTCCTTTCAAATATTTGGTTAAAGTAGTCCAAGTGGCTCTCAAATCAATATGGATTATAAGTATAGCCCTTAGTTGTCCCTAGGGAAGTTAAAGTTGAGCACATTTCTAAACAAAAGTCAGAGAATTTGAGCTGGATTTGACCTAAAAGCCTCTTTCCTGTGGTCTAGCATCCATAGTCCCAGAAAACTATGATATAGGCTGCTAAGGAAAAGACGTAACTGAGCAGTTCTACCCAGCTGCAACTGTTGTGAGCCAGGCTAATTGGCAGCAGGGTAAGATACACATAAAGGTACAATCTGTGTCCGTTGACGACAACAACTCTCTAATTGGACTTCAGGCCCACTCAACAGGAGGAAAATCAAGCTTGGTACTGGAAATCTAGCCAGATTTCTGGAGCTAGACCTCAGGAAAGAATCTACCACCACCACTTTCCAGACTAGCAGAATTTCTTACTACATTCTCAACCATATCCTTATACTCACAGACAAGCACAACCACTATTACCCATCAAAGAAGCTTCCATTATTTTTATTTTTGTTTTTTTTTAATGGAGATAAAAAATGGACAAAATGGAGAGATTAACAGATCACGGGGAAGCCATCTCCAACAGATACAAGTGCACCACAGCGCCCGCATCTCGGAAGAAGGAGTGGAAAGATGTAAGAGCCAAAATACCAGGAAGCGTGCTGTGAAACCATCTCTCCCAGATGAGACTGCACAGACAAGACCAGAGCAATGACAGTATCAACGGACTTGTTAACATGGAAGGGGAAAACTGTTTGCAGTGTCCAACCCCTAGACAAAGAGCTAAAGATGACTAATATCTGCTGAGAGAAGAAGTAACCTCTCTAAGGTATGGTATCCCTTATTGGTTGTCCATTTTAGAGTTCTCAGCCATGAAAATGTATACACACTAACAATCAAATGAACTCAGCAGTTTGTATTTATGCATATTTGCATTTCTCCTATATATGTATGTGAAGATAGTAATAAAGAAAAAAGAGCTTTCAGCTTTCAGTTCTAAAGAGTGGCAGAGACACAGGAAAGGTTCCGGCAGGGTAGTTGGGAGGGTATTGAGGAAGGAAAGGGAGAGATAAGTAATGTAATTTCTATTTCAATTATAACCTTCAAAAAGTGAAGAAAAATAAACACTTTAACATGAGAGAATGAGAATTACTAAAAAAAGTAGGACAGTAGACACTAGATATAGACTGAGTCTCTAGAGACAAAAATAAATATTCGATATTAATATGGGAAAAGATGTAGGACCCAGTGGGAGGAATAAATGAACAGTAGGAGTCTGTTAAGGGGTAAAATAGAAAAGTGCCATTAAGGAAGAAAAACAGATGTGTTACTTCAGAGAAATCTTTCAAGGATGAATTTTTTAAACTACCAATTAAGTTTAAGCTATTAATCCTCTTAATCAAAGAGAAAAGAAAATGCCTGATTATCCAAAAAAACTAACCTAATCAGAAATACAACTCAAACTTGTATGATTAATATTCTATTTAAATGATTGTTAACAAGCATCACAGTGGACAATTCAATGTGATACAGCATGAGAGGTTTTTAAAAATTAAAATCATCATATTCCAAGATTTTCACAAAAGAAAGGCAAAGCAGAAGATTTAAACCTGGGAAGGAGACAGTTAATACAGATTTAATATATGTTCAAAAGACCTTCAAAATTTGTTATTCAATTCATTAACATACTAATATCCGTGACTGTGAGTTAGTTTCTCCATGATGCCGGAATGATTATTGGCACCCAGACTGTCTTCTCCAATTAACACTGGATAGTTTTATGTTCATATAAGAGTCCCAATATGGAAAGATATGGGCACAGCAGAGTTGATCCCACACCAACCCTAGACTTCTAAGTTAAAGAAAAAGAGTTTGCCAATATAAGAGTCCATAAAAATGGCTCAACCCTGAACTATTTAGACCCTTTAATATTTATATCTGATTTTTTTTCTCAGACAGGAAACAAGAAACAGAAGTTGAAAATATATTTTATCAATCTTAAAATTAAAAAAAATATACTACTCTTTCAGAGATGGCATAAGCATGTGTGTGCGTGTGTGTGTGTGTATGTGTGTGGAGAAGGGCACTTGCACCTGTACACATGTAGAGAACAGGAGGTCAGATGTCCTGCTGTGTAATTTTTTCTTTCTTATTTCCATGATATTGTGACTTTCATTCAATCATCAGCCAAGCCACTGTGATCTTTTCATCTTCACTCCCACAGCTTTGGAGTCACTGGCTCATCTTTTTTACATGGGTGCTGGATAATTGAACATAGGTCCACATGTTTGTGCTGCAAATGCTTTTACTTGCTGACCTAGTTTTATTTCTATTACCATGAAAAACATCATTATCAGAAGCAACCTGGGGAGGAAAGACTTGGTTCAACTTACAAATCCATATAACAATCCATCATGAAGGCATCCAAGGTAGGAACTCAAACAGGGAAGGAGCCTAGAGGCAAAACTTCAATAAGAGGTAATTCTTCAGTTGAATTACCCCTTACCAAATATGTCTGGGTTGTGTCAAGTTGACAAAAACAATCTGGCACATTTGCTGAGCCATCTCCACAGCAACCAAAGATCTTTCTAACAAGGTAATACAAAAATAAAAATGTGCTTTCCTATATTTTTGTCAAAATAAACTAGGTTATGTTATTTAACACATGCAGAAATCATTCCAATATGAGATGGCTTTTCTTATCCAGCCCCAACAACAAATGCTGACCTTATCATCTCCTAGGTAATGGTAGCAGAGAAAAAGAAGTCTAAGGAAGGCAAACTAGCTCTATCATGGAAAAAAATGTTTTGTGTACAACTATCATTTACTACTGTGATTCATTCATAATATTCCACATAAATGCTGGCCAAGCAAATACACCCCGAATGGGGTGGGGAAAGAAAGCAGAGGGAAGAAAAGGGAAAGAGAGAACTGTCAGAGTAAACAAAAACAATGTAGTCTTGTTTCTGCTTACTGCCAAATTGTCACTTTAATAGCACAAACGTCTGCGCAGGATATAAATAGCATTTCTCAGAGGTCAGTCTGTAGTTTAACGGAGAGAAGTTTAAGTACAAGAAGCAACCTGCTCCTGGAGAGATTGGGGATGTGGCTGCTGTGACACTTGTGTGTCAGTAGGGGGCCGAGAGGAGAGAGGCTTTGTCTATGCTCAGTGTTCTGACCTGCCAACATCTGAATGGTTACTAGCCTAACATTCCTGTAAAAAGCAAGTCAGAAAAGCACCAGTCGGGGCCGTGTAGGCCTTGGGGGAGGGGGAGAGCAGACCATGCCCAAGATGATTCCTGCCCAGTGTTGTAATGTATAAGCCGGGCATAGCACTGCTGAGACCAGTCCTGAGATGATCAAAGACACTCAGAGACCCTAGTCTGCCAGAAGACCAAGTAAGTGGTGAAAAAAAAAAAAAAAGGAACAGAAACAGAAACAAAGGATATGAGCACAATGAAGGGCGGCAGAACTGGAGACTAGTAAGAAATAGCATGATATAAGAAGGTGGTGGTGCTACCTGGACTACTGTGAAATCCTGGCCTATCCTGTCACTGGAACCATGTCTGGGTCCTCGGCCCTGCAGCAGCAGGGTTGTGTTACCATCAAAGGCCAGATAGACGTTCTTAGTCTGGATACCACCCAGGACATGTTGAATTGCCCCACCCTTCACCTGGCCATGTTGGGAGAGTTGGCCTGAGGGCATGAAAGCAGGAGAGCTGACTCTGCCCTTAGCCAGCTGCAGTACTTGGGAAGGCAGCCCCCAAACATTGCATGAGCTGTGAGTGAGCCAGCTTAGAGGAGATGAACTTGGAAACTCTGGCCATACAACTCATCTCCTGTGTGGCAGCCAGGGCAAAGAAAAGATGACCTGCCCAACCCTTACTTCCTGCTACCTATGAAAGGCTAGAGAGCTGGTCCTGTCCCTCACATGCTGCAGGACTCAGGAAATCAGGCCCTGCATCTCACTTGGACAGCTTATTAATAAATCTAGCAGGTCTCCATCTCATTATTTGGAAGCTAGAATGAACATAGGAAAAAAAAAACCTTAATTCCAATAATATCTATACATTTTTGAAGCTCTACTTCTGTTTTAATTTTTAAGGGGCATTTGTATGAATGTTTCTCTATATACTCTGTATACTAAAAATGACTGTTACCTTGTGATATCTTTTGTTTGGTTAGTTTTTGTGATTGTTGTTTTGTTTTGCTTCTAGGAACTATTTTTATTTAAAGAAATGAAAAATTTGTATTAGTTCTTGGAGAGTTCCACATACCGCCTTTTGATCTTATTCACCTCAACCTCAACTCACTGTGTATCCATAACCACCACCTTCTTTTTTTTTTTTTAACTTTTAAACTTTCAAGACAGGTTTGTGCTACATAGACATTCTTGGAGGTGTGGTCTTTCTAGTGAGAAAGGGTCTAAGTCTAATTATCAGGGTCTGATCTTAAATAGCACTGCCTTTTCCTCTTCTGCAACATAACAATTGTCAATAGCTTAATTGCTATGTATGAGATTTGTGCTCAATTCCCCTCTCCAAACTGTGATTGGTTTTGTTTGGGCTTGCATAAGTCTTATGCATGCTGCCCCAACAATTGTGAGTTCATATGTGTAAACAGCCCTGCTGTGTCCATAAGACATGGTTTTTAAAAATTCTGCCCTATGTTTCACAGTGATCCCAGATACTTGGTTTGGGGGTTGGGGGGCAGTAGCATAAATGTTTCCTTTAGGGCTGAATATTCTGCAAGCTCTTATTCTCTATATCTTGACTAGTAGTGATTCTCAGTATAAATCACCATCTACAACAAGTAGAATCTTCTCAGATGAGTGTTGAAAGATCCGTTTATCTTCATGGATAACCAGTAAATTTTAAGGAGTCAGTTTACTGCTATGTCCTTTTAGCAGATTAATAGTAGTAGGTTCCCTGCTAGGACATATGCTCTGTCTAGCTCATGATAATGGTGACAGTTATTGATTTCATCTTGAGAGACTTTAATAAAAATATTTCTTAGACTTTTGTACTTAGGTACAACAAAATTTGGTAGTATACTTTATTTCCCACCTTCAACTTCTCCAACAACCTCTTCAAACTGGTCCCATTACAAACTTCATGTGTTTTTCTTTTTTATGACACATTAAACCCATCTAGTTTTTCCTGCATAGGTGCAGGCCATCTGCTAAAGCATACATAATCTACCAGTGACCACATCCTCAAAAAAGAAAATAATTCTCCAACAATAACTAACAACTGCCAATAGTTTCTCAGTTAAGGCATATTGCTTTGAGACCTGCCCCCATGTCTCTGACAGAATTTTTGTACTTTAAATTTATGCAGTTCTTGTGCAAGTAACCAAAGCTGCTATGAACTCATGGGTATAATAACCATGTCACATCCAGATGATAGCATTTTATAACAATTTTCCCCATCTTCTGACTATTACGATCTTTCAGTCTCTTTTTCCACAATGACCACTGCACATTAGTTGGGAAGAAAAGACTTAATTAAGGTGTCCAATTTAAGGCTGAGCACTCACATTCACTTACTCTCATAAGTTTGACCAATTATGAGTCAGTCTGTACGTTGACTGTTACCCTATGCAACAGGAAGCTTCTACAACTAAGAAAGGAAACACAGAAATCTATAAACATTAATTAATTAGTTTACTAGGCAACTGACAAAATAAAAATAACCTATCCTAAGTCTATCCTAAGGCTTGATGCCACGACCCAAGGGCATGTAACCTTGTAGAGTGTTGCGCCTCAGTCTTCTCTAAGAGATAAATCACATCCAATCCAAATTAGGCTACCTGATAATATAAGAGTCATGCTACTATTGTACCTGAGAGTGAATCTTGCCTAGTAGGTTAGTAGTAACAAACAGGTTCCATAACGGGGTAATATCATCTATGTTTTGGTTTGTTTGTTTGTTTGTTTGTTTGTTTTTCCTCCCTCTGCAGCTTTCAGAGAACCATCTAACATTGTGAAAGCTAATCACAGTAAAGGAGGTTTCTAGTTGGTTTAAGACTGATTTCTCAATGTCCTATAGCCAAAATGCCTGCAGCTTTAGCGATAGGGTCTTGCAGAGTATATATGGTGGAACATATTTAATATGAAAGAAAGGAGGGAGATGTATTTGGAGTTAAAGGATTAAGCAGGGTTGTAGGAGAAAAAATAGTGGTGGAAGGGTTAACCAGAACTAATGACATGTAAGATAATCATAGTAACAGTGAAAATCCATTAGTTGGATGAGCATTCTGTTGTGTTTACATCAGGGTAAAAACCAATCTCCTCAAATTATTATTAATTGGTTGAGGATTTAGCTCAGTGATAGAACACTTGCCTAAGAAGCACATAGCCCTGGGTTTGGTCCTCAGCTCTGGAAAAAACTGTTATTATTAATTTTGTGGTAAAAATCACTTAGAGCAGTGAGATTGCTTAATGTGTGAAGGTATAAGCTGCTAAATTCGACTATCTGCATTCAATCAGCAGAACCCACAGAGCAGAGAGAACAAACTCATGCAAATTGTCCTGTGATCTTCACACAGCTTCCTGCCATCCACATACATAAAGAAAGGCAAATTGATTTTTAAATGTACTGTAATTTTACAGCCCTCCTGCTCTCCAAAAACCACAGCACAAATCTCAACATGTATCTAATCATAACTTAACACCCATTAATAATATTTCACCCTATTTGTCTAATTACCTTAAAGCCTTTGTTGATGAACTCATAGCTTATTCTTTTAATTGCATTGTTCATTGTTTGGGTTTTGGTTTTTGGTTTGCTTGTTTTTGTCTTCCCTCTTTTTGTTTATTCATTGCTCGTATAATGCACCATGGCTGCAGTTTTCCCTCCCTCCATTCCTTCCAGTTCCAGTCCCCACAGCTCCCCCAGATCCACTCACTGCTCAAGCCTCCCATGGACAGCTATTGAATACAACAACTTATCAAGATGAGATGGAACTAAGCACAAACTGTTGTATCAAGGTTGGATGAGGCAACGCAGTAGGAGAAAAGGGTTCTCAAGAGCAGGTAAAAGAGTCAAGAGAATATTCCCACTCATATCACTAGAATCACCACAAAAGCCCCAAGGTAAACAACAGTAACAAACATGCATAGAATCTACCACAGATCCCTGCAGGCTCCATGATTGCTGTTGCAGTCTCTGTGAACCCGTATAAGCCCTGCTTAGGTGATTATTTGGACCTTGTTATCCAGGTATCCTCAGCCCATCTCATTCCTAAAATACTTCCTTCCCCCTTTCCATGGTGTCCCCGAGTTTTGTTTATTGTTTGGGTGTGGCTCTCTGTATATGCTCTCTGGTGACAATGCAGAATATCATCAGGAATCACTTAATTCTCTGCTCAAGTGGACAAAAGTAATTTGAATTAACATCTTCTTCAAGCCTTAACAAATATAAAAGTTATACAGGTAGAACATATTTTTAAATTTCCACTTTCCTAAAAGAAACAATACAACAATATTAATTCCAATAATACCTGTAAAGCTTCACAAGGAGTTGTAGAAGGTGAAATTTATTTAGTCATTATTTGATAATCTCATATTAGTAATAAGTTAAAGGGAAACCACAATTTAAGAAGTTGAGCCTTTATAGATCTCAAGCAGAAGCACTCGCCAAAACAAAATTATGGGATCATGAAATCCTACTAAAAATGTCAACTTGCTTCTTTCAGTGTTTTATCACTGGCTAGTCATTATCCCAGGATAACTTGTCACATGAAAGAGAATAAATTATGCCATTAATATCTGTGATGTAAAGGCTCTCACAGAGTTCACATTAGTGTAGTTGTTGTCCCACTGGGGGTCTTACATGTATTCATAAAACCTGGACCTATCGCGATATCCCATGAATAGAAGAGAAAAAATATTTTAAGGTGTTCAATGGGGAGGGCTTAGTTTATTATTTACAGCGCAGCATGCATTTCAAAGAAAAAATGTAATACTAGAAACAATAAAATTAGAAGTGCATTTGTCATCATGTGGGAAAATGAATACAATTTGAAGTGGAGAGCTTTGCTCTTTTTAAACATATTTTAAAATCTACATAATTAAACCAATGTAAAAGAGAAAAGGGGAAATTGTATGATTTGTAGCTATAGCACATGAAAAATAAAGTCTATAAAACTATTTTTATTTGACAATGATTTTATTCATTATAAGATGCTATAGTAAAAACATTACAAATACT